CCCCTAAGAAGTCATAATATAAATGGGAAAAATTCAGCACGGAACATTCAGCAAACCAAATGCACAAACTAAGGATGGATGACAAATCTCAACATCATTTATATAACTTACCTTTCTATAATTCCTCCTTCTGAAATATCTACTACCTTTTCAGTTCGTTTTAATTTGATTTCATTTTATCCAAACAGTCCTAAAACGACATTGTTTGGGTGTATACTCAAAATACATTTTATACCCCCACAGTTTCATTCCTTAGGCACAAATACAATAGCCCAGATATATTTATATTGTCTAACAGTCTTAGTGGACCCTCTGGGGCTTATGGGCTAAGTAAAGGAGGAACTGTTGAGCAGTATGAGTAACTTGCAATATAAAAGCACAAGGTTTTATAACAGTTCAGGGGAATGGGAGAGAATATTTACCCAGAGTAAGACAGTGCTTTCTTTGTAATAGTAGTGGCAAGTCTACAGGTGACATGAGAGATGTGCAGTTTTTGGTAAGGATACTCCATAGTTCTCTAATGTATGTGGGATTTACCTAGGGCATGCTGGACAGAATTCCCATTAAGGCTAGTAAAACACAACTTATGTGGTATATGTTACATATTTAAGAAGCTATTACACTCAGGGGCATACCTTGAATTGAACAACCTTCCCCACATTCTGAAACTCAGGGAGCACATCCTCGTAGAACTCCAGGAACTGCTGGTAGGTCTCCTCGTCACTGTACTCGAGACTCGCGTCTGTGTCGTAGTCATCCCTCCGGCACTGCTCCATGCCAAAAGTAATAAACATCCCTCGGACGAGTAGCGTCTTACTAGATGTTGGATAGTTATGCTTGCGAGAACACCTGGACATTTGTCGTGAAGAAAGAAAAGTGGAAAAGATCAGCACTTTCAGCAGAAGATACACTTGTTGAAGCTTCAAACACTTGCCAATTTTGAGTAACAGTTATTACAAAAGAAAATCCATTAGTGGAAGATCAACGTATTTCAACTATTAAAACGAATCTTCCAGAAGTGCGTTTGCATATAATCTTAATGCTTTCTGCCATGCATAAATACTTTCTTGCTTAAAAAAGCACATCTGCAAAAACTACAGATACCAGTAACATAATAGGAGCTGAAGTAATTTCTTCTAGAGCTACTAGAGTTAAATGTGTTCCCCATTTCTGAAGGCCTTTACAGAAAGACTACTGACAGTTTTTTAAGACATTTTAAAGCAAGTCCCTGCTCTTCTTTTTGCAAACTGAACAACTTTTACTGAAGTTGTTACCATATGAGGGGTGGGGAGAGGGAGTGAGGGAAGGAAAGCACGTTTAGACATTAAGTGGGATGAGTACAAGATTGGTATTTTTCCACTTCTAAAAAAATGATTCTTCTAAGTAAGTCTTAATCTGCATCTTCTTGCCAGCCATAGGTATTAGATCTTCCTCACCATCCATCACATTCAGGCTACCTCCCTCACATGCTGCAATACAGCTCTCCCCTACAAACCTTTAGATTCAGTAAGAACATAGAGAGCCTACATGTTTATTTCAGTGTGCTTTATGATCTCCGTTTCAAACACTTTCACAAGCAACCAGGTCATGCACTCTCCAACACATTTCTGCTTTTCATGACATGATCAGAAAAACGGACTAGTCTACTCCCTTTCTTTATCTAGCAGTAACAAAGTACAGACAAATTGGAGGGAGGTCAGGTCTCAAAATGGGCAATTAAAACCTAGACTTCAGATAGGAAGTTTCTTTCTTCCTCCAGTCAGTCAGAAATTGACTCTCACTTTCTGGTTGAGACCTTAGACTTCAAAAAACAAACAAGAAAAAAACCCCTCCAAATCCAAAACTAAAACTGGTGACAAATAATTATTTTTTACATTTTAGAAGCTGCCTTCTTTCGCTGTTCTATCTGAATGATGCAACTCAAAATATCAGACCCAACTAATATTGCCTATACAAAAAATAAATATGGCACATGACAGAACAAAAGTAACCCCAAGGAAAATGCATGACCAAAAATCCTGTTATTACTACAAAATATTAGGGATTGAATTACTGGGGAAATTAATAACAGCCAGTTTTAGCTTCTACAAGGCACAGTGAGCTTTGACAAGATTTAACAAGTACTTTATTGGTAACACTAGCTCTCAATTTTTCAACCTTGCAGGCCATTTCAGCTTCCAACCCATTCTTCTAGTGCTTATTCTAGCTGTATCTCAGCCCTTCGGCTTACAGTCAACACCAGAGGTTAAAATGTCCGGAATATGAAGGAAGCAGGTATGTGAGGAAGAGGAAGGAAGATAAAGGAGAGGTAGCTGAGATCAACAACTATAGGTGAGAAAAGGGCAGAATATGATGCTTCTCAGGATTTATTTACCAAGGCTATTCCTAGCTCAAAGCAAAACTGATTTTTATGCAATTCATAGTTAATCCAAGGAGGTTACGCCCATTAAATACCACTGAAACAAAATACTGCAAAGATTACAAAGAACTAAACATTTGAAAATCAAAAACGCTGCCTGCAGTGAAACAACTGGACAGTTTTATTTAGGTATTCAGCACATATTTCAGAACAGAAAAAAGATGTGAATTTGAAGCTTCTATAGAGCTGAATTATCACATAATTATCCACGATATCCATCACACTAAAACAAATTAGTTCTAGCATAAAGAAAACTACAATAGCTGGACCACACATGTTTCAGTGATATAAGCTAGTAAAATAGCCTTATTAGTTTATGCCAAAGATACATGTAGTAAGTATCAGTCTTCCCCTTCTGAGCTATCAGTTCTCCCTACACACACGAACTCAGGGATTTTCTAGCCAGATGCTGCATTTGGATCCTTATACTTTTGGCGTTCTCTATGTGCTTTGGCAACAAGTTTCGCCCTTTGTTTCATATGAGAAAGTACTTTTTTTTTTTTTTTTTTTTTTTTAAAGCTGGTAAACACTCAGGAAAACCTAATTAAACTGTTTCAAAATAAAAGCAAATAATCTTTCCCATCCTACTCATGAGTTCAATGTTCCATCTACCACAGCCCTCTTCCATCATCTTTTTGAAAGTAAAGTCTAGACCAGTTAGCCACTCCTCCTACAGAAGCTGTTCCTCATCTCTCATCATCTTGTCCTCTGTTCTTGGACTTTTATTATACTTCCCTTCTGATATAGGGCACTCGTAACAGTACACAAAAATCAAGAATGAATATATCAGACATTTAAACAGCATGCATACAGGAGAATTCTAGAAGCTACGCAACAGCTTTCCCAGCAGATGTACGTTCACTTGCTTTAGTCCATTTGAAATTTGATTCTATTTTTTAGACAATGTGCACATGCAAATTAGACAAGATAAAAACCCATCATCTGACATCAGGCCTGTACTAATAACAGAAATCAAATATATTCTGTCTGAATATATCTGCCCATGTGTCAGACCTAAGGAAAAGTCAGTTTGACCTACGTAACCAGACTGCACCATCAACAATACGCCATAACAATAAATAGTTCAATTCCAGCCAGGCAATGCTTTTGCTTTCAATGTCTAGTTCCATCATGAGTAACAAAACCACATTCAAATGCATGATAATAATTTATATAGCAATTTTCTTTCAGTTTGCCTATGACCTGAAGAAGTTGCTTCCCTTTCGTCTCTCCAAAACACTTCTACGCTGGTAAATACTCAGATAATTACCTATCTCCAAATCGGCAGGAACCTGTTTTTATATAGAAAGGGCAATTCGCTCTATCCTTCTCCGTTCCTATATTCTCTGGGGGCTCTGGGTTATGCCAGGTCACACCATTCTCCAGCTGTGAAAAAAATGTTAAAATAGAAATTAGAAATTAATACAGAAAAGTACTATCAAAACAATACTTTCAATTAAATCCACATGCAATTATGAGTATAAAGCAAGCTGAAACTATTTGAAGCACCGTTTTACAAAGCTGCCCAGTGCCTTGGGTCTGGTGATGGAAACCTCTTTTCCTGATAATTGTTCAGTATTAAGAACAAGTCTACATTCATGATTTCCTTTTAACATAGAAATCGTTGAACTGGATGTTTTCTTTTACTAAAGGAAAAGCTTCTTAAGATTTTATAATCAAAAGAGTTGCAATATACTTGCTCCTCAAACAGCAATTTCATTCATTATCCAGGAGAATTACAAATACTGGGACAGGTTCTTCCCATTCAGCTAAACCTGTTCACTCCAGGACCTGCTGAGCAGCAGTTTATACACCTGGCAGATAGAAAGCTACAACTATTTACTTGTCTCTGCAACAGCTCAAAGCTCAGTGAGGTTATAATTAACGCTTTTTATGCGGCTAGAACAGGCTAAAATAAAAGTAACCTGCCAAAGGCCAGAAATAAAAAAAATTAGATTCAGATTTAGTACTGGAAGTAAAAGCCTCCATACTGATCATCTCAGGCCATTAAGACTTCTATAATTCAAAATGGGATTATCAAGCTGCAAGCCTTGACTGACTACAAATGAAACAGACATTTTAGTAAGGGAATTTTAATTTTACTAACCAAAAGATCTGTAAAACGGACTTCCCTAAGTTCTCCTTTCAAATCAGCTGAAAACTCTTGCTTATTTACAAGTAGCATTTGATCCTCTTAACAGTTCTGTTCATGACTCTCAATCATAATTTTCTTTCCACAGAACAGCACTGTCACTTCAACAGTAACTGAACCCTCAACTGATACTATAATGAAGTCTCTAATGTGCCACATTTCTGCCTATTCCTTGGCAGAAATGGCTGCCAATGCATCTTGAGCTCTGGGCAGGTGATAGTTCAGAGCAGTTCAGTAACCATATTACAAAATAAGAGTTAGATTCGCTACCTAAAGATCTGTTTAAACATAATTTGGAACTGAATGCAACTCCAATGTAGCTATGGCAATCAACACACAATAGGTTAACCAGATTAAAACAATTTTCAGATTCATGCAGTGGTTTAAGCAGAGCAAGAATCTTAACAAGTTTAACCATATGACAGGGAAAATATGCCAAATTGTTCTTTAAGACAATAGGAAAGATTGAATCATCCCCTCTAAGATTCAAATGAAAACTGCAGTTTTTTAACTACACACTGCCAGCTCAAGTTCCACGCTCTTCCAGGCAGCCAAGCAGTCAGCTTCTCCATCCCCCACTTTTTTTTTTTTTCCCCTTAAGCAGCTATGCTCTCCTCTACTGCTGAATCCTTTTATTTAGAGCCTGCCATCTGCTTAAAAAGACAAGTTTGTCTTGCCAACCAGAAGGACTGACATATTTACTTAGAATTCCGATTCACAAATAAACCATCATGCATAGTTTTTTGAACAACACACAGCAGTATTTCCAGATTCATTTTGACTCAGATCTTGAACAGGAATGAGTATGCACAACTGCACTGCCACCAACCAGCCAGAAATGTCCTTAATTATGTTCCACCCGGTAAATAATTGTTTACAGCTCATGCAAGCCACTACATATTAAATCTATTCAGGCCATTAGGTTCTTGAGAACAGATGGACAACATGCTAGAACGCAAACACCGGACAGCAATTAAATTACTTCAGTTCTTTTTCAAAAAAGTCTCTGAGCATACCTGGCTTTCAGCTTGATCCAGCATCCTCTGCACAGCTGCCTATAAATGGTGCAAACACAGGACTAGTGAAAACCCTGAGGACATGCAAAACATCTGGTTTCTTTAGTTAAGAACCTAATTTGCAATACTCAGTGATTATGCATAATAAAAGTTTGATGGGGTTTGCTTTAAAAATGGAAGTTTTACTTTTGCTCTGTAGCCAAAAAGCTGTTAAAGGATACATCAGACAAGAGCCTCATACAGATGATTTTCTAATCTAGATGCTAGACAACCTAAAAAGTTTAATTTTCTTCTTTTTTAAAACTATCAATGAACTACTGAACACTTAAATATATCTTCTGTTCTAGTGCTCAGTCTGGTTAAGTTCATAATCATTTAGTTACACTAAACTTTTTAACTAAGTGTAACTACACAGGAAAACACACTGCTTAGTGACCCTCTGTTAAAGCAAAGCATGTAACTGCTAAGCAGCTGTAATATAAGTGCACTGTATCTAGCCTTCCAAATACAGGAAACCAATTAGTATATTCTTCTTCCCCTTCCTTCTTCTGAGTGGACTGAACAAGACAATAAAGTCACTCTCCAAAACTGGCTGGAAATTAGTTCTAACAAATTATTCTAGGAAGTTCCAAGAAAAAAGACATTTAAACATAACCAATACAAGAAAATACACTAGCACTGTTCTAATTTGGAAGAGAGTGAATTATATTTTAAAAAATGTATGTTTTAAAATCAGTAAGTCAGAATTTGAATAAGCTGCTGTTTCAAGAGACAGGCCAAATCAATTGAACAATTTTCTGCTGCTGAAACAGGTGGCTCTGCTCCCAGCTGGGTACTCAGTTTCCCTCTGGGTGCCTGTCAATGCCCTCTATGAGACAATTTAATTCACTAAACCAGTAAAATAGTAACCCAGAAAAAAAAATAAAAAGAAGACAAACAAACTAACAATGAAACAAAGAAGAAGGTGGCTTCCATCTAGTTCAAGGAACCAAATTAGCTCACTGAGTGCTTGGGCAAGCTCAGACACAAGAAGGGGGAAGGAAAAAAACCCCGCTGTTACCACAGTTCGACTACTCGGAACTGTATCTCAACCTTCGATAAAGAACTTGATCATTATTTTTTCTCCCTACTCCGCAAAGACACAAATGGACACTTAACACAGAGGAAGTAAGACAGGAAATACAACCACTGCTGTTCTTTTTCATTCCTCATGCAAGTGTTATGTAATCAGTGACACAACCAACTGTTTGCTTATGTCTCTTCTCCTGCTGTGGCTACCAGACACAGTAGCAAGACACCTCCCAGTGAAATGACTGGAATCTTTTGCAATTGTGGTGAAGCTAAAATGACCAAATCCTAGAGAGCTGCAATCATCCTTTACTGGCGATAGGCTAGTCCTCACGCTGGATTTCTGTACAGGACATCTTACATTCAGGTCATTCAACTTCTAAAACTCAAGAAGAATGTATCATTAATAGAAATGTTATCAATGACTAGTATCTTCAGTATAATTTTTTTTTCCCTCCATTGAAGGAGCTCTGAAAAAAAGATACGTCCTGTTGGATGAGTCAGGTAAAGAAGAGCTGTAATGTATCTTTTGATTAAGAACTGTGTTAAGGAACAGCAGCGATGTAATTCCATATTCCATATCCTCACTGGGCATTTTCTTCAACACTGACTGTGTTCAACTGGGATATTAAATAAGGATTATATTTAATGCATGATGCAAAAAGTGCACATATATCAACCTGCATTCCCAGCGGTGCATTTGTATTTAACTGATGTAAAAAACTACACACTATGAACAACCAGATGCGTTTAAACTAGTTACCCTTCTCGGTATCTGGACTCACTAGATCCTCTTTAACAGTGAATAATAGTTTCACAAATTTAGACAGAATGGAGAGAAGAAGTAACTAACACATTTATACGTTAGCTAATTAGAATAAAATCCCTCTTCAACTGTTGCATCCGATAATGTAAGAGGATATGTAACATGTTTATCCTCCCACTGCCAGGAATCACCTCTCTCTCTCTCTTCTCCTGTTGCTTCTGCTGTGCCACTTCTCTCTCTTTTCTTTGCTGCTCTTCCCATTCTTCTTTGATCTTCCTCTTTATGATAAAAAAAAAAATAAATAAAAAATTAAAAATTATTTAAGGAAACAAATGCTTTATAATCAGTCAAATGCAAAACTATCCTGTTGTATTACAACTCCTTGACTGTTAAGTTTTCATCCCGTAACTAAATCTCTGGACAAAAACCCTTGTAACAAGTCTTTTTTTTTTTTCCCTTTTTAATTTTGCTCTTCTAGAACGGAAGAAAGAAGAGCTTATGCTTTCAAACATACCAACACCAAGAAAACTGGGTCCACTACAAAACAATGGAAGATATTACACTGTCTACCTTACTGCCAGACACAACTCTAATACTCAGTTTATACATCACCTCTTCTTCTTCTTGACGTTTTCTTGCAGCCTCTTCTTTTTCTTTCTTAAGCTTGAATTCTTCTTGGGCCTTTTCTTCTCTCAGCAACCACTGCTCATGTAGTTTTTGTCTACCGAGGAAACCACATACCACTTAGGACAAAATTTAATGACTACCCACAACTCATGCAAATGTCATGCATACAATTCAAATTTATTAGTTCAGAAATAACTACATCTTATCTAATCTTTAGGCTTTAGAGAAAAAACTGTGTAGCCTGAAATACACCAAAATAGTTCTATTTTACATAATATATTAAAACTTTTCAAAGTATCAAAACAGAATTGACCACAAATGTATCTACTGCATATATGCCATTTTCTAGATTTTTCACCTTTCTGCCTCAAGTTTTTTTTCTTCTTCTTCCTCTTCCTCTTCTTCTTCCAGTTCCTCCTCTTCCTCCTCAGACACCGATTCATCTTTTTCTGTAGCTTCTGAGAAAAAAAACACAAAACAATGCATCTAAATAACTGGATGTTGTAGTCAACAAAGATACACAAAACTACATCCTTTTAAAAAAGAAAAGAAAAAAAATCACTACTAATTTCACTGACAATACAAAACACTTCACAGTTACCTGAGTCTCTTAGTTTGGCAAGTGCCTGACGCTTTTTTTTCCGCTTTTCTTTCTTCAGAATAGCTCTGTATTTTTGATGGCTAAAGATAAAAGAATACTGTTTACATTAAAACAACCAAACAAAGGATTTTTACAGTTATATATATATGTATTCAATTGATATCAACACTACAAAACTCCACAAACAGCAAAATTAACAAGGCAGTAATAGGAAACAGTAACTAACTCTACAGGGACATCTGACATGACAATGAGATCTGTAGCTATGCTGTTGGAGCTGCATGTGGACAGCAGCAATGATCACATTCGGACACAACACAGAATCTCACCCTTCCTGAACTCTGCAGTATTCGAAGTTCTCAACAACTCTATGAAATATCCCTTAAGTTTCTGAAACTTGGTCACTAGTTAAGATTAGGGAGAAAAATTTGGTGATCTCCCACGCTATAATTTTGGTACACATTTCAGCACATTCTAGTCTTCCTCTCTTTCACAGAGTATGAAATATTAAGTCCCATCACTTTCCTTCTCCCTTGAGATATTCTCTACAGGCAGCAGTCTTAATGTATAGATAACAAAAGCACACTTCACCACCACCGATAATGCTCAGGTCTGTTCTTCTGCTACTGAATCTTGGCCGGGCTCATCCTTGCTTCTCTAACAGCCCTGCCATGCTGCCTAGAAACAGCACATTGCTTCCATTATGGTTAGGAACTGTCTATCTGAAAGCTTTTTCATATCAACCCTTTTCCATCATTTTTCATTCTAGCTGTATTCTTTCTAGCCAGTTCATAATGGAAAAATAGGAGGGAGGGATGACCTTCAACTCTTGTCACTCTTCCATGCCAAATACTGATGGGAGGTCAAAATCTCTCCGTTTCATAGTATGCAATTTTAAAAGACTCCATAGGTATAACTCAGACAGCCAAAACCTCACCCGCATCTCTAACCTGAGACTTCCATTCAAGGTTGCTCACAACCTCACCATCTGCACACCTGTGGATGCCATCAGTAACCCCGTGGTAATCCGGGCAGCAGAGCCCTCAGAGCCCAGTGCCTGACTGCATGCAACATCTGAGCACTCTGCCTTTGATCAAGCAAGCTTAGCGACTCCTCCAGTAATGTCACCTCCCTGGAACGAATCTCATCCGCTCAGCAGGTGCCTGGAGCTGACAAGCGTCCTTCCCCGTTCCCTGCCTTTCTTAGGTGCTCCTGAAGCCCAAGGAGGAAAGAGAGCAAGCAACTCTCCTCACTCCCAGGCCACACACAAGCAGCACATTAGGAGGCGGGCAAACAGCTTCGGGACTGGGGCTTGCCTCCCCCTCCCGCCACACGGCACTGCCGAGCGAGGCCACTCCAGCAAGCGCGGGGCGTAGTTGCTCACAAACACCCCGAGGCCCGGACTGGGGATCCCGTCAGCTGCGGAGGGGGCAGGCCGGGGCTCTGCCCAGGCACGCACACGCCGGCTGCCTCCCTACGCCGCGGCCCTCGCCGA